GGAGGGGCCGGGGTGGGATTTCTCGATGAAGATTCTAACCTGGTGCATGTTCATCGCTGGGGAAAAGGTCGTCCAGTCCATCCTTCGCAGAATCTCCTCCTTTATCATCCTGTTCACCCAGAGAGAAACATCACTGCCATGTTTCACTTATAAACAGAGTTAAGCTTCCTCTACACTCTTCCCCCATTAAACTATGGGAACAAAATTGTGAAACTTAAAAGGGTTCAGAAAAGATTCACCGGGATGTTGCCAGGGTTGGAGGGTTTGAGCTACAGGGAGAGGCTGACCGAATATGCTGGGGCTATTTTCCCTGGAGCGCAGGAGGCTGAGGGATGACCTTATAGATGTTTATAAAATCATGAGGGGCATGGATAGGGTGAATAGCCAAGGTCTTTCCCCCAGGGTGGGGGAGTCCAAAACTAGAGGGGCATAGGTTTAAGGTGAGAGGGGAAAGATTTAAAAAGGGACCCGAGGGGTAACTTTTTCACACAGAGGGTGGTGCGTGTATGGAATGAGCTGCCAGAGGAAGTGGTGGAGGCTGGTACAATTACAACATTTAAAAGGCATCTGGATGGGTACATGAATAGGAAGGGTTTAGTGGGACATGGGCCAAATGCTGGCAAATGGGACTGGATTAATTTAGGATATCTGGTCAACATGGACGGGTTGGAACAGAGAGTCTGTTTCCGTGCTGTACATCTCTGTGATTCTATGACAAGGACAGCACGGGGTTAGATACAGGGTAAAGCTTCCTCTACACTGTCCCCATCAAACACTCCCAGGACAGGGGCAGCAGGGAGTCAGATACAAAGTAAAGCCACCTCTATACTGACACCTCCCCCACCCCAATCGAACATTCCCATGTATTGAGCCTTGATGTGTTATTTATTGTGCCTGCGATGGGACTGTGCACTTTGCATTCAGGAACGTTGTACCTAACACTCTCTCAGTTGCAGTGTACCCCCTGGTGACTGATCTATTCATTCTCTTTATTCTGGGCAATTCGGCTGGGTGGGGCAGCCCTCTCCCCTGCTCAGCTGAAGTGCGTGTGAACACCAGCTGAGCCCCTAAACAAAGGGCTCCAACTGTTACTGCCCACACTCACCTTACCCCCCCCCTCACCCCTCACCCCTCACCCCCTCCATTTAGGGTGGATCCTGAAGGGTTGGGGGTGAGTTCCCTCCCCTCTCCAGGCTCTCACCGAGGGAGAGACGTCCTCGTCGAATTTCTTGATCTGGTTCATGAACTCGAGGTGCTTTTTCTCCTCCTCCAGCTGAGCGACGGCCTGCTCACTGTGCTGCAGCTTCTGCTGGGTCCCAGCCAATTCATCCCTCAGCCACTGGTTCTCCTGCACCAGCCTCCGGACCTGCGCTCGCAGCTTCTGCTTCTCTGAATCCACTGTGTTCAAGTGGGTCGACAGGGCAATGATCACCTGGAGGCGG